TTCGCCGATGTAAATGAGGGGCCAATCAGAGGAGGGATTTTCGTGAACGAATTTGGCCGTGCATAAGTCGTCCCAGTAATGGCATATGTTTATGGGCGACGGAATTCCATCTTTTGCCAGCACGCGGGCCAGTGCCTCACTTCTACCCAACGTTACTAAATTACCTCCGTTGTGGAACTCCCGAGGAAGGAGGCACCACCTTCACTCACCTCAGTCCGCCTCCTGTCGTTCGAAGCGCCATCTTGATTTTCGTTTACAAACTGTGTGTTCCATAAAGTACGGATGAACGCCATCTAGATGTTGCGCTTCGAAACGTGCGTATTCCGTAGAATACAGTACAGTTATCATAGAAGCCGCCCGGCGCGTCGAACAACGGGAAGCGAGTCGTGGTGAGTGGGGGGGTAATACTCGTGCATGCAGCGTCTATGAGCAGTTAAGTAACTGAGCTAATCAATAACGTTGCTTTTACCCTTTACATGGCACGTCGGTGAGCGTTGTTCTTTATTGTTGTAGAGCGCACCGAGGAGTTCAACCTTGACTGCGGGTAACTCGATGAATAAAACTGCTGGTGTAGCGTTGTTCTTGAGATCTCCAATGACAGTTTCCTCTTCAAGTTTTCCGTCTGTTTTGGGAGAGCAGATAGTCCTCGCTCTGAAGACGAGTGTGGATATCACCGATGCTTCGCGACTCGTCGGATGGTTTGAGTCAGACCGGAGATAACGTTCTCTGTGCGTTGACTTTCTTCCGGTATGCAAAACACTCGAGTATGTCATCTCTTTTCTTGATCAGTACATTGAGGAAAGGCAGTGCGTTGTTTTTCTCGCGTTTCCCGGTAAACTGAATGGCGGGCTCGACGGAATTGAGGTGTGTGAAAAAGCTGTCTATTTGTGACCTTTCAAAGATACAGAAGCAGTCATTGACGTAGCGGAGGAAAACTTAAGGGCTCGCAGAAGAGGACCGAAGGCACGTTGTTTGATGTCTTCCATGGTTAAGTTCATCATGGTAACGGAAATAGATGAGACCACTGCTGTGCCGCTTGTCTGCTTAAAATGTTCTCATCTGCAAGTGAAGGATGTGCTGCAGAGGCATAATTCGAGGTGTCGGCGCAGTTCATTCATACTTAGTGTTTCCTTCTCGTTCGGGTTCTTGTCTTTCTCAAGGGCAGTTCTAATCGTGGCGATTGCCAGATGAACAGGAACGCAAGTGAAAAGAGAGACCACATCGAAAGACACGAGGGTGCTTTCAACGTTGACCTTCATTTGCGAAACAAGTTCCACAAAGTGACCAGCGTTACGAACATAGGCTTCTGTTTGTCCAGCGGGAATGTAAATTGTGGGGTGCAGGTAGCTGCATGCAGGTAGTTGCTATGCATGTAATGTTTTAAGGATTTGTTGGAGTTCCTTTAATTTTCTAAGAAAATCAGTCATCTGCATTAAGTTCTCCTATCAAACTCTTCACGTTACGCTTATTGAATAGTAGGCCGAAAGATCCGTGTTTTTTATAAGCCATAAATAAAGAGTGAATGGATAAAAATTACATGACAGGTAAAGAGAGAAAAAGAGTGAATGAAAGAGTAGGTGATAAACAGAGGAATAGGGGATAGGAACTAGGTGATAGACAGACAAAGAAACAAACGAAGGACTCAGTGATGGAGATTGAGAAAGAGAGTGAATAAGAAAGTAAGTGATAGACACAGAAAGAAAAGAGTGAATGAAAGGCTAGTCGATAGGCGCAGAATAATTGTATGCAAGATCAACTGTTAAAAAAAAGGAATCAAAACAAAATTATAGAAAGAGAAAGAAAATGAAAGAAATTGTAGTTGATATAAAGAGAGAAAGAAAGAGTGAATGGAAAAGTAAGTGGAAGAGAGGGATAGAGTGAGAGGAATGGTGAATAAGAAAGTGATAGATAAAGAGAGAGTTGAAAACGTGAATGAGAAAGTACGGGACCGACATGAGGAGAGAAAAAAAAAAGTATTAATAACATGAACCAAAGAGAAAAAAGAAGAGAGAACAGAAGAGAGAGAAAGAAAGATAGAGGAACAGAAATAGAAAAAAAAAGAACCAGATAAATCAGACAGATATAGACCTTTGCAAAAAGTGCTCCCTGGCCGCCGCCATTTTGCGAATCGAGCGACCCCTATCAGCCAGAAATGTCTGCCACCCGCCTGAGCTGTGGAAACCCGGTAAGCGCGGCTCCCCACCTGCATTGTGCGTTCGGAGTTCGCTGACTTTTCTTGAAAGCTTTTACTCTATTTGCCTGTTCAGGATGCTTACACATTTTGTGTTATCTTCCACTGTGACAACCAAAGAATACCAGGGCTCGTAGCCTGTTCGACCTTCGCAGGAAACAAACGAAGAAAGCGAACGTCAAGCAGCACGCGACGCGGGCCGTTCGACATTCTTCGAGGATTAGTTCTGTTGAGATAATCTCCGAAAAGCCTTCCCAGCTATGTTTTCGGTCTTTGCGAAAAATAACTGATAGGGTCCGGGGTATGGGGACGGAATAGACACGTTCGGTTTAGTTGCTTTGGTGCTGTGCAGAAAATCAGCAGTCCTCAGAACGTGACCCCAGACAAATCCGGATTCCGTCCGATCGTCGTGAAGTGACTATCGTCGACACTGTACATTGGATTGCTATGTAATTTTAGACCTTTCTCCAAGCCTGATCGGACAACGCGGCACCTTGTTCTATTGATGAGATTTGTTGAATTTCATGTTGTGGGCAGGTAATACCCACGCAGTTCAAATATTCTGTGTGGTGAAATAGTTTTGACAGTTAACACCTTCGTAGATTGAAACGACTGAATGTATGGTGCTGTAAAAAGATCAACAGAAATTGAAACAAACATTTCAATTGCATTTGTTTTGTAGTGCTCGGACTCGCCAAAAAATCTTTCATTTCTTTGTTTTTGTTCCCAAAAATAGTACAATACGTTCTGAAAAACTCCAAGAAATTCTATTCGCCATAGATCACTAGGTAAAAAATAGAAGGCGGCAATTTAGCCTTCACTAGCGTGCGGAAGTTCGCCTACGCAGGTTGCCACAGCCCACTGAATAGAAAACCCACAGCCCAGCGCAGTCGGGCAACACTGACGTACCCTCTCAAAACCAGGGACGCGCGCTGTGAATCGCTTCGTTCGAGACTGCCGCTGGAAAGGTCTATAGAAATGGGAAAAGACAAGCGCCGAAAGACTAGGACAAGGTAAGAAGACGACGACAAGAGGCGCATTCGCAACTGTAGTTTTATTTATAGAAAAACAAGGGAAAGACATCGTGCCAGGGGCACGATGTCTTTCCCTATCTTTGCCTTGCTGCTGACAGTTGGTATGGAAAGACTGCTACGTTAGCCTTGACGGTCGGGCTTTAACGTTCAACTGATTTAGTTTACTAGAAATATCATCTTGGTATGCGAACGCAAAAGGAGACAGGGGACACACAAAAACACGTGTCCGTGTCTGACGTGTTTTTTGTGTGGCCCTTGTCTCTTTTTGCGTTCGCATACCAATATGTTTAACCAACACGCTCTCCCCATTTTATGTAGAAATATCAGATGTCGCAGAAATCTTTAGGAGGAAGGGGTTGCTGACACCAATTCTCCAGTGTGCATGTTCGCAGTTCCATCCTCGCGAACGGTCTCTCTCAGTCAAGGGCAGAGACGTTACAGGGGAAAGTCATTATCAGCTATTTTCACATTTACATACAAACACGAGAATGACGAAAACAAGCTGTGAGGCCGCCAACACGTGACATAATGGACGGCAAGAGCGGCAGGCGAGAGTTGCCACTTAGGGACCACTCTTGATGTATGGACAACATGGGACGCCAAAACACCCGTCAAAGACCCGTTTTAGGCACCGTATCTGCAAGCCGCGATACGACGGATGGCTGGATCGGTGGATGCTAAAGGCCCGTTCCTACAGTTGCGACTTCTTAGAACCGAGTTCATTGAAACCTCTTAGGATCTCTTACAACGAGATGACGCACTGGAACCACCTATCGGGCAGCAGTAGAACACAGCGTTTTGTTTCTTTTCGGCGCCATTATTTTTGTCCTGACTTAAAAAAAAATATTTTGTCAATGTTATAAACGAACACTTTCCATTAGTGGTACGTACATTGGACCTCGCAAATACCGCCGAACCTCCGCTCTAGTGAAATGCAGTTCCAGGGTCACCGCATCGATAGCGCCAGCATGTCAGTGTGTTCTCGCGCCGTAAGAGATTTTAAGAGGTACTAAGGCATCGCAAGTGTGTGAACGTGCCATAACGGCGGTGCCCTTTATAGCGGGCGGTAGCTTGCTCCACCTAGCACATAAACGATAAACCAAAAGCATTATTCTTCCTCTCGTCCTTCCCAGGCAATTTTCTGCCCATCTGAAATTTCTATCACTGGGAGGTGTGGGATATCACCAGGATTACCTTTGGGTAATCGAGGAAACAAAAACACCTGAAATCATCTCAATCTGCCTCCTCCCCCCTTCGAGGAAGTCGTCAATTTCCCTCTGATCAAACCTAGTCGGCGTTACCCCAACGTCGGGCCTACTGCGAGACAGGGTTGAGCCCTTAAGCAGAAGCCAAGCGGGAGGAGTCCCAATTTTCCTCTTTTAGTTGTACGCCATTCAGTTTCCCTCGATAATTTCCACCCAGTCGTCTCATATCCTCTCTGGTTTTAAAGTGCGCTTATTTTCTATTCTTTTATTTTATTCTGCAAACTCCAGCGCTCCGTCCAAATCCGTCGCCTACTCCGGGAGGGCGGGGAGCAAGCGTTGTGCATCTTAACACCCCATGTTATGTCTCGTCGCCCCTTTGGCATACGGCACACTACGTATCTATTTCCTTATACTTCGTCGTTTGTTCCGGCATTTTTCAAGGTTACCAAGGGAAGGCGCAGAGAACTGTGAACTCAACCAAATTCGGCGAAAGTCGACCACTTCGAATAACTGCGAGGAGAGCTTTAGTAGCACTTCAAGTGTAGAATGGTGCATTAAAATCGCACTCACCAGCGCGTATCTGGGGTTCGTCTGGTACAGGGTGCCGACCCGGGTCCAGTTGAAGTGCTTGAGGAGTGAAACTCGGGCCTGGTTGAAGACGGACTCGGAGGGCACCACCCGGAAGAAGTTGGGGTAGCTCTCCAGCGTGTACATCGGATGCGTGTCGGCATAAGTCAACTGCACGGGACATCAGCAAGGGGCAAAAAGAGCAGTTAGAATTCTTTAGATAGACCTGTGGTAATGCCTTCCCAGAGGCGGTTGTTACGGGGAATCATCAACATTTGCTTTAAGAACGCCCTTAATAAATCATGCTTTCACTTAGTCAAGGATAGCTTTAAGAATCAAGTAGCGAGGCTCACGGCCGCGGGCTACCCGTTGCGCCTCTTAACGGCAGTCGCAGAAACTCTACTAAAGAGAAGACGGATTGAGAATGCTGAACAAGTTAACAGGAAAAACAGGAACATCACAGTACTACCGTACCTACACAAAATATCCCACAATCTGAAAAAAGTGGGACGCCGAGCTGGTGTTCACGTGGTCTTTTCGGCTCCAGACAAGCTATCTATGATGTGCAAAAGAGTGAACTCTCATGTAATAGAGAGACAGGTGTGCGCCAAGAAACACCAAAGCCAGTTTGTTACATGCGTTGCGGGTGTTGTCTACTCTATTCCCCTGTCCTGTGGCCGGAGATACATAGGGCAGTCAGGACGTTGTCTTAATGAGCGTTTAAGAGAGCATCGTTATAATGTGTCTCAGGTTGTGTCGGGGCACCTTGGGGTGCATTGCCGCGATTGCGGATGTACTCCGTTTTTCGAACGATGCACGGTCATCAGAAAACAAAAAGATAAATTGACACGTGAGATTATAGAAGCCCGCGCCATTGGACAATCGGGCTCTGAGTGTGTTAGTGCCCCGTCACTTGCCTTGACGGAAAAGGAGTGTATTTTTCTACTCAGATCGGAGAGCAACGGCGCCTGCAGATGACTCTAGGAACACGTGTAGTCCTCCTCTTGTGTTTCTTTTCTTGGCTTTTGGGCCGGGCAAATTGTGTATTTATACAGGTTGTCAGTGCCAATAAAGCTCAGTTGTAAGTCAGCGCTGTGTGTGTCTACCGCCTTCTACTCTGTCCTTGTCCTTGCGCTGTTTGTTTTCCGCTTCGGGAAGACCAATCGCTCAGATCCTCAGTATTCTCGGAGAATGACAATGCTAATCCTACGTTTAGACCTAAAATGTGAAAGCCGTTTACAACTCCCTGTGACGCCGAATTAGAGCGCACCTCTTGAGGAGGAGGAGGGAAAGGTATGGAGAGGGGGCTATGCCCGTCCTCCTCTCCTGCTCGGCTCCCATTTAGGGGAATTATTTCCGCTAAATATAGTGGGGATTTTTTCCGCTAAATTTAGCGGGAAAATATTTTGTTAGATTTATCCGGGAAAATTTCGAAAATTTTCCACTAGATTTAGCAGGGAAAAATTCCGCTAGATTTAGCTGGGAAATCGTTCCGCTAAATTTAGCGGGAAAAATTTCCCGCTAAACTTAGCGGAGAAACTTTTCCGCTAGATTTTCCCCGCTAGATTTAGCGGAGAAATTTTTCCGCTAGATTTAGCGGGGAAAATCTCCCGCTAAATTTAGCGGGGAAAGTTTTCCGCAAGATTTAGTGGGGACATTTTTCCGCTACAATTAGCGGGTCAAATTTTCCGCTAGATCTAGCGGGAAAAATTGTGCGACAGATTTAGCGGGGAAAATTTCGCGCTAGATTTATCGGGGAAAATTTTCCGCTAAGTTTAGCGGGGAAATTTACCCATCATGCACCGCGCGGTTACGCCGACGGCGACGCCGACGCCGGTCAAGCCGGAAACGGGTGACACTGAGCATCAAGTTTTGCTTTTAGAGCTGCGCTCTAAAAGCAAATTTGATGCAGATTGCGGCGACTGGCTATCCCGAGTGCTGTGCGGGATTTAGACGTATCAGATTTCTTGAAGTGCGGTCTGGCTACCGTGGGCGCGCCTTAGCGAGGCTCGACTATCGGACAATGCGCGCGCACCAAGAGCAAGAGGACGGCGGCCAGAGGTCGCACTTGCAATTTGCTTCGACGGGAATAAAAAAAGTCGCCTTCTGCGTGTACCGCCATCTTCTGTCTAGTGGGCAGTGGAAGGTGTTCAGTGCACGTGCTCTTTTCTGCGAAATACCGAACGTCCGCGCATACGTCCGCAGCTCGGGGGTATCTTTCGCCCTGATGAGGAACTGAAAAGGTGTCTATACAGCCTTTCACTTTAAGTCCCACAGTGGTCGACGCTACAATCCGGTGATGTCAATGAAGCAACATCAGTTGTGCGTCGACATGGCGGCCATCGCCCTTTCCGCGCTTGCTATAACCGACTCAAGCAATAACACGGAGGTAATGCGTCACGATTCTCCGCTTTTATTTATAGTGCGGGATTGGTTCAGCCGGTTATATCAAATCTGTATAAACGGCGAGTGCTGTGATGGTGCACTTTTGTAGCTTCCTGGTTGACTCCATCGGAGTTAAAGCGAAAGGGAGTTTAGGTGCAGACCCAACTCTTTGATTACATCCGTTCCGCTCGCAACAATTCACATCTATGCATCCACAATCGGTTAGGTTATTATCGGTTAAAGTTTAGGCTTAGTTAGGTTAGGAGATTCAGTTTCAGTCAGGTTGTACTGGTTTAGTTTGCACTAGTTCATGCTATCTTTGCTCGGATTAAGTTAGGTTTTTGTAATCGCGACCCTTTCACTGTCATAAACGCTGGTTTTGTTCGGTTCTATTTGTCTCAGTGGATCTTAAGAGGTTGATAAATATTTGAACCCTCGCAAGTTTTGGCGCTGATGGCTTCACCTAAAGTTCCGTTGAAGCCTTTCCTACTGAATGGGGTTCTTTTTAATTGTCCGTTGTTTTATTTTCATTGAAACCAAGAGCGTCATGCATTTTAGTAACGCACTAAGTCCAGTTTAAAAAAAAGAAGTCCCAGATGTAAAGCCAACAACACAAACACATGAGCATCAGGGAAAAGCGTCAATGCACTTCGAAAATGCTCGCTTACACTCGTACAAACCAACATGGAAATCAAGAGATGTCGGCGACAGCTTAACAAAGGCGGGGCGTGGCGAGTCCCGAGCGTCTTTTTGATAGCCATTGGGACTGCGGCATTAGCCAATAAGAACGCCGGACAACCAATCACAACGCGCGAACACCCGCCCTGCCTTTATTGAACTCTTGCTCACTAATGCCCGAGACCAACTCGAGCGACAACCAGAAACAAACGACAGCGACGATCGTCAAACTGGAGTCTTTCGTAATTTGACAGGCTTCGTAGGACAAAGGGAGGCTATGCTCAAACACGAGCATCGTGCACGCGAAGGTATCTGCGCCAGGCTCGCAATCACTCGGGCTTACTTCATGAGCACCGAACGACGCAACGCCTGCCAAAATCTGTTTGAGGCTTGTCGCTGTCGTTCGTTTCTGTTTGCCGATTTGGTGGGACTTGGGCATATAAACTCGAAATCGGTTAAAACCACCTAAAGACGAGGCACGAGATTTTTGTTATATAAACCGGAAGAATAAAGCGAAATGCAAATAAGGACTGAACCTTTCAGGAACACGCAAGTATGTACGGTTCAGTAACGCCGGAGTATTAAAAACTCGATTGACAACCTTCCATAGGTACGTTAAACCGAATATTTTTTTCTTATATTTTTCAGAGTCGTTATATTATTAAAAAAAACACCAAAACGATGGTTATAAAAGTCACGATCACTATAGATGAGCTAGTCACTTTAACGCAGTTCGAAATGTTTGAGGCAAGCTCAAGGAGGCTTCCCGAAAAAACGCGAAAAAATATTAAAAACGTAGTGGGTTTTTAAATTTGCTTACCATACTCGTTATAGCAACTAAAATGCTAAGTAGTTTATTAATGTTTGGAAAAAGCCCCGGAACACTTCCGTTCTGAACTAGACTGCATATTTCGCGATACTTGCGAAATCAAGTATACGCGCTATTCTCTTGCAATGGCCACTTATAGCACTGTCTGACTTAATTCACCCTACAGATAAAAGAACAATACATAAAAAAATGAGGATATATATGGGAACGGGAAGTGTGCCGAGGCTACTCAATGAGTGGCGCCACTGAGTTTGTTGCTAATCAAAGAAGGGGGAATATTAGCATAAAGTATATGAGACTCCAGGACAACTAAACATTCCCCAGAATGAGCGCCATCAGAAAAAATGTCCAGCTGTACCATGGCGTAAAAGTCAGGAAGTCAATTTGCCTTGATATGTGCTGCAACCAGCGATAATTTCAAAGGTTCAAAACATATATTAACTATTGTTTAAGTATAGCCCAATATTCCTTAGTAATATTATGGCACCAAAAGTTTTACCCATGTCTCGCGCCAGTTATTAACCTAGTAAAGGGGCACTGACAGAGTACTTATGCGTGGCGATGTTTTTCATTTGAGCGTGGACTACGACAGTGCAACTACCCAGGACATAATTCGCGGCACGAAATTCGTATTCTTTTCACCCGAAACCACCGACAGATAATTGATCGGTTTCAGGCGCGTTCACCCTCTCGGTGACGTGCAGTCCAAACCGGGGCATACCGACTATATTCAAAGGTGGGGGCCATCAAGTCATACAATCAACTTTAGAAATGGAAAAGAATATGAACCCCATTTTTGTTGGTTTAAAGAAACTGCAAACACGTTGATAAACTAAAATGTTGCACAGATCACTGGAGGTACAGATCGCGACGCTATTAGCGCCAACAAGCGATCGCAGGTTTTTCCAGTTCTTCTTGAAACCAAAGGATGTAAGTTACGGAAAGAGCTCATTTAGTTCTATAACGTAAGTGATGAAATTTAGTGATCGCTAATGCTATTTAGAAGTAAAATGGGAAAATGCGCCGATGTCGTGTTCGCGCTAACAGTGTCGCGATGTGCACATGATGTACACGGCACCCCCGATATGGCGACGATGGCGGCGCACGAAAGACCAACGGTACGACGGACGTGGGACCGCTATTTCGGAACTGTGGTTCGTGGTACCGGCCAATCGATCTTTAAGCAAAGAACAGCAAGGGGAAGGGATAAAAGTGGGAAACAATTGCACGACAAACGGTTCAATCAACGTCCACATTCTCATCATCCGCTTCACATGTC